ACTTGCCAGCTTTATGGAAGATGGTGAAGGTGATCAGCTCGTGGTCACTCTCACCCTGCTTCCCTTCGATTGTTAGGTCGCGGATTAGGTCATCCCCGCTTGCCAGTACGAGGTCGAGCAGTGCTTTACTTCTCGTTGGTCTGTACACTTCCTGAGTCAGATAGAGGACATCCATTTAAAAAGGGCTCAACATTCATAATACATATGTAAAATAAGCACAACTAAAGTAAGTTGATTGAAAATATTTTTTGCCTTTTACCATCACCTTTTACCACCAGTGTCTTTGATTGTTTACTCCTTCTCAGGGATGTTTAATGGACTGACTTAAAAATTTCACCCAGCAGGAAAAGGTCAAGACAATTAACCCATGATAACTGGTCACTTTCCTTCTAAAATAGTCACCAATGACAGAATGTATTACATAAGACCTAATCATTAACAGGGTCTTGCATTCTATGGAAATGATTTTACAGGCCCATGCATGTGTCCACTTTATCACTTAAACACAGCACCAAGGAATTAAACTCTATGTGCAGGTAAGTCACATATCTGCAAATAGATGAAACTGCCTTTTGTGATACAGATACCCAACTTTGGTATTTTGGCCTCCTATTCTTTCACCCAGCCAGGAGCACCTTTTCGTCTACAACTGGAGAAAAAGAGGCAACATCTTATCCTCTTTGATTAGGATTTGGCTGCAAGCTATACATAGTTTAGTTCAGTGATTCTCAACGAGGGTGTCATAGCACTCTGGGGTGCCATGAGATTTTCTTATGGAGGCTGTTCAGTATTAACACTGTTTGGTGTGCAAATGCCAACACATAATTCACAAAGATCAATCCTGACTTTTCCCATAGGAATCCATACTGTCAAAAACATTCTGACCTGCTATGTTCTTTCCAAGTTCTCTGTCATTTTTCTGTAGTCAAAAAAGGAGTGAAAACTCTGAGCTAGCATTTTCTGAGGGACGCCTTGGGTCTAAGAAGATTGACAACCACTGGTTTAGTCGCCTTGACATAATTCCTATTTCCTAATGGTGTCAAAACAGGCAACTATAATTCGCATTAGGAAAAGAATGCAAGCTGGAGGTGAATCACACCAGCACATCAAAATCTGAACTGCCTGTCAAGTAAGATTTCCAGGTGGAATTCAAGGTGCTGTTTTTCATTTATAACAGACAAAAAGGTTGGGAACCTGGCTCCCAGCAAGAACACTTCTCATCCCAATGTCATACTCCAAAAGCTGAGATATAGGGTGTTTTTGTTTTAAACTTTAATTTATATTACAATCTACAAAAAATATCCTTACACAGAGAGATGCAGGGGCTACCAAAATATACATGCAATAAAAGAAACCTGGCAACAAACAGTTCCCTCCCTATAAAGGAGCTTTAGTTTTAGAACTAGCTTGCCCTGATTCCCCTAGGCTACACTTTTAAAATGGGCTATTTGATCTACTAGTCATTAGGGAGAGAAAGAAGAAATATGCAGATTATGGTTTTCTATGTATGGTTAAGGTACTTTTAATCCTCTGGCTATACTGGGGAGTGCCATTCACTGTACTTGATTTTTTAAAATTATATGTCAGGGTAGATACAGTTCAAAGTAGGTACTCAATTATGCTTTTATAAATAAAAATAAAAATCACTAATATAAGTAGGGCTAAATTTAATGCTACTCAGAGTCTCTAAAGAACTTTAAATAGTCTTTAATAGCCTTAGGTGATCTTTCCTTTGTAGAAGTTGACACTAGATCTTTCTTTAAAACAACCAGTTTGAAATAATAACCAAAATTAATCTATGTCCTATTCCCACTATTTCTATCCAGCTCTTCGAAAGATTCAATGTCATTCTGCCTGGTTTTATCAGCATCATGTTGTGTGGATTATAAGGAGGAAAAGGGGGGAACCCCCCCCAAATCAACTAATATCACTATAGTATCATTTTCCTACTATTAGAAGAAAAGTTTGGTTTCAAACTACTGTCAACCAGAGCTTTCAGTTTTTGCTGCATCAGCTCCCCCTAGTGTTCTAGTACATACAAGGATTAAGTGAGAAAATACTACACTTCCTAATTCACTCCAAAGAACATAATAATCTAGCATTCTAAACAACTCAGGTGATCATTGCTAGTGCAGGAAAATAGGGTTTTTTATTATTACATAACACTTTCCAACACTGACACTATTTTTTATGTGTATTTTATTCACTTAAACTTTTTTTCCATTACTATATCTACTTTACATAAATACTGTGGTGGCCTCTTAAATGTAAAGCACCATAAATGTAGTCCACACTCCCATTTTGCCTAATATAATGCCCCCATTCCCACCCCCAAAAAAACTCATTACTTCAGCTCATCTTAAAACTCAAATTCTTAACATATGGACCATGTAGGTCTTCATTTACACTTAGCCTTCCTACCCAGTAGGGGGAAAAAAGCCAACACCCCCCTCCCACCTGTGGCTCGGTCC